AGACAAACAATAATTCTAAAAACTATAGATTCGGCCTCTGTATCGATAATAATGACTATTTAATAAGATTTTCCAAAAAATATATAATGTACAGGTTCGACTCAGTTACAATTTTATTATAGGTAAGTATTAATTGTAACTGATTGCTGTTTATACATGAAAGGTATTTGAGAAAAAATATTATTGGGGATCTTTATTAACACAATAGAACCCAAAACAATGATTTTCAGCACATTTGTCTGTTTGTCTGTGGGTTTGTGCGCTCTTATCTCAGAAACGGCTTAACCGATTTAGGTGCGGTTTTCACTAATGTATTGTGGGTTAGCTGCACTTAACATTGTTTTGTTTCAATCGGTTCATAAATTAAAAAGTAATGTCAAATTAAAGAACCATCTAGAGACGAACCTGAGCGAAGCGAGGGTAAGTGGCTAGTATAAATATACATACAGTTAAAACCGTTTATGACGACATCGTTTAGAACAACATATCGGTTATATTGACCAAAATCAAAGGTCCCGGCTGAATGCTATATGACCGCCTTGTTAAAAACATTGCTTTTTACGACATTGTTTATTACGACATACCTCTTTAAACGACTACATTTAACTAATATCTTCGGCAAATTATATCTGTTAGAACGACCAGCTGTATTGTAAGCAATTTGAATAGGTAACAGTATCCACATCTGGCCCTCGGGGGCTCAGCATAATGGTCAATAGCTATTAAGATCGCAAAAGTAAACAAAGACTTGTCGAGTTTAGGGTCTTTTGTAATTCTTAGGAACAAAATACATGTGCATGCAGTATAATCAAAATCCGCTTCTTCATATCTCTCCAGTCAGTTTCTTACTTATCTGTACACAAGACGCACCAAACCATAATATAGGTAGTCGAGTTATTTGTGAAACTTTTAACATGTCGCAAAGAAAAAGAAAACAAATTAATATCAAGGAAAAAGCGCATATTATATCAAAGCTACAGATCGGAATTCCAAACAAAGACTTGGCAAAAGAATATGGTGTATCACACTCGAAAATGTCAACTATTTGGAAAGAGAGGGAAACAATTTAAACCCTTTATGGCAGCAATTTTTTGAAAATGAAACGAGCCAGAACAACGAAGAGTACGAAGATTGAGGAAGCTTTGTTAAAGTGGTTAAAATATCAAAGGACAAATAATGTGCCAATAAATGGACCAATTCTTCAACAAAAAGCAAACGATTTTGCTCAGCGTTTTGGTGAAGATTTCATTTGCTCTCTCTCTCTCTCTCTCTCTATATATATGTACACATTCAATAATACCACTTCATAAAAAAATACTTTGTACCTAAAAACCATCACCGGTTGCTACGACTATCGATTTTTACGACCAAATATGAGTGGTCCCTTCATACTCAGTTTCTAAACCTATGAGTGTATAAACAGTGATATTAATAATTATAATACTATTTAGGTAAGTATGGATATAATATGACACATTCATATTTAGTTCGACTGGCGCCTACGTATCTATGTCGGACTGCTGACAGTAACCACAAGTGGGAACAGAGATTTGTCATTCCTTGTAAAAATACACAAATAGTTTTACATACCAAGAATAACACAGATTAAATATTATGAATGAACATAAAGTGATTGTATTACTAATGATACCTAATGAGCCTTCTTGCCTAAAATGGGTTATATCTAATAATCAGTTCGATTTGATTTGTAGGCTTCAGCTCTATTACTCATTATCAGTTGGGGCTATTTTGCCTAAATATTTTGTAGATGATAAATGACGTTGTTGCTTAATGAAGAAGCGGCCATAAGTTAGTGTTTTATTCACATCTCACATCTTTGGTTTATTTTTATTTCTATAACAATTAAACTTTAAATGCCTATATACTTAAAACATAATACTGTGCAGTGCGAGATTATACACAATAATTTAATTATTTATTAGACTGTTTCTTGTAAACAGAGAGTTTTTGAGAGACGAAGATAAGAATCTCTCGTGCTAAAGAAGGTGCAAACAGAAAATGAAGACTGTGGTGACTGATGATGTTTGGGACTGATACTACTTGGGATACTCGTCAGCTCAAACGTGGAAAACACGTGTGTTTAGAACAAATGGCTGTTTTATGTATAGGAATATCCCTATTTAAAAACTCCAATAGGATCTCATCAAAAGCGACAAAAGCCACATAGAAACCATTATTAAATAGTATAATGTCATAAAAAAAACATTCAAAAAAAATATTTTTTTAAATACATAATATTTTATTTATAATAATTTTTATATAAAATTTTGTTAATATAATTTTATTTATTTATAATATGACTATTTTGTTACTATATTGATTTATGATGTTTTATTGTATAACATGAGTAAAACTTTAAGTGTACTTCTTTACTATTACGTACAATAAAATATATACATATCCATACATATCATAAAATTGTTACTAAGCCAAATCTGTACATTAAATATTTTTTGGAAAATCTCATTGAAATAAACATTATTATCGATACAGAGGCCGAATCTATAGTTATTACAATTTTTGTCTGTCTATTACCGCATCACATAAAAACCACTGGAGGGATTTTGATGAAATTTGGTATGGTGATAGCTGCTTATCCGGGTCAACATATAGGATACTTTTTACCGCGGTAAAATATCTCATTTCTGAGAAAAAATGCAAAAACTGCAATGTAAGAGTATACTAATATGTAAAACCTAAAAATTTGGTTTTTAGTCATCTAAACGCGGGCGGGGCCGAGGGCAATGCTGGTTCAATATAATAATATATTTTTTATCATAGGTACATACAAACAAAGTACTGTTTTTATCACGTACAATGTCATGAAATATTTATTCGTCTTCTCAAACCAGACACGTAAAGTTGTGGAATCACAGACCATGCACGACTGCTTATGTGGTGCGCAAAGGTGCGACCACTGGAAGGTTGATAATATAATAACACAGATCACATAATTAATAATACTATACTAGTACAGATGCCTAATCCCATACAAAGAAATTGGACAGCGCTAATTCAGGCTATTCTATAGGTTCTTTTTGTTTGCTTGAATAGATAATAGATGTCGTTGATTCGCAAATACTTAAACTGTTTTATTTCATAAATATGTGCAAGCTAACATACGATAAATATTGATAAATTCTTCCTGCATTTGAATAAAAAAAATCAAGTGATTTTAACAATTTTAACGGTGATATACAATTCATAAAAAGTAAAAGCGCTATCTAGGAATATACGCTACAAACCCATCATCTGACTGGTGATATTTCAATTATCAGTGAAACTACACAAATTTGATTTACGGGCGCATTATTTACATTCAGTTTTCATTTCATTCATTCATCCCTTCACTTAGAATATTTTTTTATAACAATAAACAACTTTTTGACACAACACAACTTTAATATCAAATCGATACATGTAACGTCATCTATTGACAATTATTTGAACTAATTTTTCTTAGTTCGTGATGAAACCCCATGATAATAGTAAATATCATAAATATGTAACGAAAAACTACCCACTGGACGTACTTGACACTTGATAAGAACTAAAAAAATATCTTCGTATAGTTAAATACTGATTGCAGATCAACACAGAAAAAAATGCTTCTAAATTTTAAATCAAGCTATCAAGTATTTGGGATATTTTAGTGATTTTATTTTTCTGTTCATTCAATTCAATTCTTTGCTCTGTCTGCGGCTATCACTTTCGATTATGGAGGGTATATGTAAGGAGCAGTCACTGTGTATGAAAAAGTGTTCGTCAAAACGCGTCCAATAGGGGTGGGATAAATTTTAAAGGAAACGCCAAAAGGAATTAGAGTAAGATAGAAAAAAAAAGAAAAAAAAGGGGGTAATAAAGTTTATATGGGCAAAGGATTATTTATGATCGGAATTACTTGAAACTTGGTATTATTGCTCTTCAGTACAATTTGATATTATAAGGGTGTAAAACAAGGAATGAAAGTTTGAATAAAACTCTGTGATTAATGCACAATTAATGCACAAAAAGTGGTATTTACCCTTAAATAAAAAATAAAACAATACAAATATTTTGTATTATTTTTTATATTCGAGTGGGAAATCTCCTTTTTCAGATTTCTATTTTGTAATATTTCTTTCCTAGCAGCTATATTAGGCGGTAAAGCCTCTAACTAAGGGAAAACAGATGGTACTGCATTCTCCTTTAACTTTCGACATTATAAATTAAAACCTGCAATTTAAACAATTACGTTAGTTTATATAAAACGTATCTGTAAATGTTTCAATAGTAGTAAAAAAGTACAAAGAATATTCACCTGTTAATGGTTTTAAAATCACTTTCTTTAAAATGATGTCCACATATCCATTAGTCATAAATCATGAACGAAATTCGTTCATGTCTTAAATATATAGATTGTGATTTTGGTCTTCCTATTGCTTTAGCACACCATTTCTTCAGTTTTTTGTCTTTTGGGAACAAATGATATACGTTTTCTTTGCATCTTGGCACTACATAATCTGTCATTTAAATTAAATTTTAAATAAAATGAAAAAGTCCATCCACGCTAATAGCTTTACAATATACTGAGAATCATATTGATCACGACATCTGGAGGAAGAAAATGTCAAAGTTCTTCCCCAATCCTTTTTAGTTTTAAATACAGAGTCTGTGCTATTTCCTTCCTTTCATAACCTTTATTAGTCTGTGGTTCTTAGATTATTAAACTGTCAACAACATTGAAATATGTTTTAATTTTAAACTGTGTACTGTACTTTACTATTGAATTTAATTTAAAGCAATCAGCTATTACAGTAACTTTGAAAGTTAAAATTGTAAATATGTTTTGAATATATTTTATACTATAGATACTAATAAAATTATATATTACTAAATCGGTTTTTGCACAAGGAGCTTAGAGGAATAAGAAAAATTGGCGGGAAACATTAATTCTCATAATTGCTTAAAATTTACCTTAATAATTTAAGTACTCTAAAATGAATAAGAGAAAACAGTTTCAAGGTCCACCACCAAAAAAATTTAAATCGAACGATGAAGACGATGAAGATAATGAAGTTCCCAGTAGCTTTGAAGATCAACTGGCTGGAATGGAAAATGAATTTGACACGCGTCAAATTTTCGGCGAAGGCCCTGAAAATCAGACGACCGATATGAAGTGGTCTCGTCCAAGTCCACCTGATTTAGACCCAAGCAAAGATTCATTAATTTTTCAACAGATAGATATTGATCATTACAATGGTCAACCATTACCTGGAATGCCTGGATCTCAATTGGGTCCTGTCCCGATTATGAGAATGTATGGAGTTACCAAGGATGGAAATTCAGTATGTTGTCACGTTCATGGATTTACACCCTATTTTTTTGTTACTGTTCCCTTAAATTTTAATGAATCTTCTTGCCATGACCTTAAAAGTAACTTAAACAAAGCTATACTGGAAGATTTACGGTCCAATAAAGATAATTTAAGGGAAACTGTTTTAGAAGTAAAACTAGTAAAAGCCAAATCAATTATGTACTATAAAGGTGATAATGAAATAACTTTTGCCAGAGTGTCAGTTGCATTACCAAAGCTTATCGCACCTGCTAAGAGACTTATTGAAAGACAACCACCTTCGTTTGGTTTAACGGATCCATTATTTTATGAAAGTAATATTGACTTTGATATTCGTTTTATGGTTGATACAGCTGTTGTGGGTTGTAGCTGGATTGAGCTTCCTGTAGGGAAATGGTCTAAAAGATCAAAAATGAGTAAATTAAAATCAGAAACCAGATGTCAAATTGAAGTAGATATTGCTTGGAATGCTTTTGTTGCTCATCAACCTGAAGGCGAATGGTTGAAAGTGGCACCATTTAGAATATTAAGTTTTGATATTGAGTGTGCTGGTAGAAAGGGCATTTTTCCTGAACCAGATAAGGATCCAGTTATTCAAATTGCAACCATGGTTATTAGACAAGGTGAACCTGAACCTTGTTTAAGAAATGTTTTTACACTTAACACATGTGCTCCCATAGTAGGGTCTCAAGTTCTCAGTTACCAAAGTGAATCGGAAATGTTAAGTAAATGGTCTGATTTCTTTCGTGAGGTTGATCCAGATATTATAACAGGCTATAATATAAACAACTTCGACTGGCCCTACCTTATAAATAGAGCTAAACATTTAAAAGTAGATAATTTTGATTTTTTAGGTAGGATCAGGAATATTCGATCTGTTATTAAAGACACAGTCTTGCAATCAAAGCAAATGGGGAGAAGAGAAAATAAAAGTATAAATTTTGAGGGGCGAGTTCCTTTTGATTTGTTACTTGTTCTTGTTAGAGATTATAAACTCAGATCATATACCTTGAATGCTGTTAGTTACCATTTTCTGCAAGAGCAAAAAGAAGATGTCCATCATAGCATTATTACTGATTTACAAAATGAAAATGAACAAACCAGAAGAAGATTAGCAATGTACTGCCTTAAAGATGCATATTTACCATTGAAACTTTTAAACAAACTGATGTGCATTATAAATTACATGGAAATGGCTAGAGTCACAGGTGTGCCTTTACTTTGCTTATTAACTAGAGGTCAACAAATAAAAGTAGTCAGTCAATTATTACGTAAATCAAAAGAAGCAGGTTATCTGATGCCAGCGTATCATGGGCAAGGATCAGATGATCAATTTGAAGGGGCTACTGTTATTGAACCAAAAAAAGGATATTATGCAGATCCTATATCAACTTTAGATTTTGCATCTCTATACCCAAGCATCATGATGGCTCATAATTTATGTTATACTACATTAGTACCCCCAAATTTGCAAAAGGAACTCAATTTAAATTCTGCTGATGTTACAGTGACACCATCAAATAACATGTTTGTAAAAGCAAATGTTAGAAAAGGGTTATTACCAGAAATTTTAGAATCTTTATTGGCTGCAAGGAAAAAAGCAAAAGCTGATTTAAAAGAAGAAACAGATCCCTTAAAACGATCTGTACTTGACGGTAGACAGTTAGCTTTGAAAATTAGTGCAAATTCAGTTTATGGATTTACAGGAGCCCAAGTAGGTAAATTACCTTGTTTAGAGATTTCTGGTAGTGTCACAGCATATGGACGAACCATGATTGAGTTTACTAAATCAGAAGTAGAAAAAAAATATACAAAATCAAATGGTTATAAAGAAGATGCTATTGTTATTTATGGAGATACTGATTCTGTAATGGTTAAATTTGGTGTTAAGACTTTAGAAGAAAGTATGGAATTAGGTAAAGAAGCAGCTGAATTTGTTACAACTAAATTTGTTAAACCTATAAAACTTGAATTTGAAAAGGTTTACTACCCATATTTGCTTATTAATAAAAAAAGATATGCTGGACTATATTTTACAAGGCCAGACAAATATGATAAAATGGATTGCAAAGGCATAGAAACTGTGAGAAGGGATAATTGCCCACTTGTATCCAACATGATGAGTACTTGCTTGCAAAAATTGCTTATAGACAGGGATCCAGATGGTGCAGTGAAGTATGCTAAACAAATAATAGCCGACCTTCTTTGCAATCGCATTGATATATCTCAGCTTGTTGTTACTAAAGAATTAACTAAGAATGATTATGCTGCTAAGCAAGCCCATGTTGAGTTAGCAAATAAAATGAAAAAGAGAGATGCTGGAACAGCCCCAAAACTTGGTGACAGAGTCCCTTATGTGTTATGTTGTGCAGCAAAAAATACACCCGCTTATATGAAAGCTGAGGATCCGATTTATGTTTTAGAAAACAGTATACCGATTGATTTCAATTATTACCTTGAAAATCAATTATCAAAACCTCTTTTGAGAATTTTTGAACCAATACTTGGAGACAAAGCAGAATCATTACTTCTTAAAGGAGAGCATACAAGAACTAAGTCTATGGTAACATCAAAAGTTGGTGCTTTAGCAGCCTTTACAAAAAAGAAAGAGAAATGCATTGGGTGTAAAACAGTCATGCCAAATGATACAAAAAAAGCCTTGTGCAACCATTGCTTAGAAAAGGAAGGGCAACTTTACATTACAGAGATATTTAAAGCAAGGCAACTTCAAGAAAAATTCTCAAGACTTTGGACAGAATGTCAAAGATGTCAAGGTAGTTTACATGAAGAAGTTTTATGTACTAATAGAGATTGCACAATTTTTTATATGAGAAAGAAAGTTGGTATGGAATTAGATGCACAAGAAAAAACAGTTAAGAGATTTGGGGATCCTATGTGGTGACTCTTAAAATATTTCTTATGTATCTATTACTTTTACAATAAAAAAATGTTTAAATTATGTGTATACTTTTATTTTCCACAAAGTACAAATACTGCAAACGGAATGATTAATATACAACAGGAATGTAGCCAACAATAAACAAGTTACATTTCTTTTAATGTACATTTAAGTACAAATGTTATCAAACCTAAATTACTTAAATTAACAGATCTATTATTACATTATAATGGATAAATAATTTATCACATTTAATAAATCATTTTTTTACATTATGCTACATATTATTATTTTTTATTTATCACAGAAAACAAAATTATATATTAAAGAATAAAAATAAAATCGTAATTTATGATGAAAATATTTGATTGAAAGACTTAATCACAAACACATCATATCAAATAGATATATTTTATTAAATTAAAAATTTATTTACAATCTATACATACCTAACATAAAAAGAATTTAAGTACAATAAACAAAAATAAATACTAACAAAAAAATATTCTCAACTCATCTGTTTTCTTGAGACATAGATCTACTAACATTAACTTTGGAAATTTTACTAGAAGTAGCTAATTTGTTTGAGTTTGTATTATTTTTTACAATAGTTAAGTTAGGAACTGGCATTTCAAAGATATTAGAATTGGCTCCAGAATTATTAGTAAGCTTCATTATATCTTCCAGTGTTCTGATAAATGTATCACATGTTGCAGTCAATAGACTGGATGCATCTTCAATTTTCTGAAAACATTTTATAAAATTAAATCTAAATGTAGTACATAGATATACTTACAATAAATGAATATTATTATTACTATCCTTCAATCTGTAAGTACATAAACTAGCATATCTGTCAAGGTAATCGTAAAAAGTTATAAAAGTGATATGATCATATCTCATCATTCGTAATTATATAGTGGCAGTGCTGTATATAGATAGCTTATAAGTAATTTTTGTAACCCATGGATAAATTATATACATAAATGTATACTTAAAAAATATTAGCCAAAATTTTGAAACACTTTTGTTGTTACAGTAATTTTGTTATTTATTTTATATTGTTTTTTTTTTCAGTTTGTGTATATGTATTCAATTTTTATTTACTAAAACATAATGAGCACTTAAATATATTATGAAAAATATTTTTACTTGTATTTCGGGCCCTCCCTCTGCTGTTGCTGCACTTTTTACAGCATGTACTTGTTGCATTAATAAATCACAGTATAAATGTAATTCAGATTTCTTGTGGCTTAAGGAGTCTTCTTGTCCCAGACCTAAAAAAATTTTATTTATGTAATATACATAACTCCATTACAACCTGATATTAACAGATTAACAAATGAACTTGGTGATCTGCTGCCTAGCAAGTACAACAGCTGATTGAGTTGTTTTTGGTTCAAATTTCAGTTGGGCCAAGTGAATGAAATAGATTTTCCTGATAAGAAATTCGCAGTTACAGCCCAAGAGTTAAGAAATTGGTAGTGTTGCACAGACTGTAACCTCGAAAAATGTAAAAAAGTTGATTTCTCCCATCCCATCAATTTTGTATTTGCATAATAATCATCCCACCAAATGTTAAGAATTAAAGTAGTAGAGAGTGCACTTATATATTGGTCCAGATATTTTACTTAAAAACACAACTAACCTTTTAAATCTATGATTGAATCAACACATGCTTTTGCACTACCCAATGCCACAAGCCACTTTTGCCTGTCTTGTGGGGAAGGGGCCCGCAGGTACATATGTTGTTGTCCAGGTATAACTAAATCTAATCGAGTGTTGTCAATAGTATTAACTGTAAATAAAAACGTTTCATATAAATTTTAATATAATGTAAAAACTGTGCGTTTAATTTAAGTTCGAATCATATCTTACCATTTATCTGACAAACAGATACTTTCACTGAACCTTTGCATCCCTGATTTACTTCTTCCTGTGACTTATAATATGATAATATTCCATTGTCTAAAACAAACCATCTGGTTTGCCAACCTGGAAGAAGACATTGCATCACAATTATGAATGTAAGTATAGTACTTAGATTATTACTTTCACATTTTACTAACCATTCCAGTAATTTGTCCATTTCCATAGAACCCCCTCCATTTAAATAAATGTTCTATATAAATTAGAGTTAAAATTACATGTAATTTTTCAAGATAGTTTTCTTGTTTTGAAGAATTCTACAACTTATTTTTTTTAAATAAAATTCTAAATTGTATTATTGACTTAAGTTTAATCATTTAATGTACCTGACAACTGACAAGAATACAGAATACAGATTACATACAGTAAAATGTTAGAAGAAATTAATAGAATAGGGAAGAATTTTGCCTTTTTCTCCCACCAGATGTCGCGATCACTATAGCCCTCAGTCATTGTCAAGATCTATAGCGTGGAAGATTTTTTTTCAATGTATTTAAAATGTAATAAAAAAGCAAAATAAAATATTTAAAAAAAATCCACGACGGTTAAAAAGTAATTGGAAAAGGATAAAATAATTTAAAAACCACCGACTTAAAAAAATAATGTAACGCAAGACAATAAACGTAAAAAAATTAATAAGTAGAATTGTTTATATATTATGTAAACAATAGAGTACAAGTTTTCATAGCATGTCAATAAGTACCTATCTATATTGGTTCTCGATGATTGTAGATTTGGCAATTACATATTCAAATACCTATAAACTTAATAAAAAAACCCCAAGAATATTGGTCTGGGGCTGCCATTAAATAAACTAGCTTTACAGTTTTATAGTAACATGAATGATTTGAGATTTTTTAGCGCTATACTTACACCCTTAATGGGAAGGCCATGCCCCTAGAGTGGGGACCTTTAGAATTTGATAATAATACTTATTTTTATTTACGATGAAATTTAAAATAGTGATTGCATATATATGATAACAATTACAAACCCATTACTGAAAACCGCATCAAAATCGGACTAGTAGTTTTAGTTTTGAACAAACGCATGGTCACAGCAGCGCCCCCTTGTGAGTTGTCACCGTAACATGTATCTAAGAACATGCACTAATCAAACCCGAACCCATAACTGAAAAGTGCATCAAAATCGGACTGGTAGTTTTGGAGGGGGAGGAAAGTTGCTCGCGTCCGTAGGATTCACGATCTTTTCCTAGACCCTCCCTAGACGTCTGCCCTGGATGGTGCTAAACGAGCAACAACGCCGAGTCTCGGGCGGTGGTTAATTAACCCGACTCAAATTGCCTAACAAGCAGATTTCTTGTTGGGGGTAGGAAATGACCTCCACAACCCGCAACTCCATTGTGTTATCATGGAATCGGGGGTATTGGCTTCACTGCCCGTGTCAAGAGGTAGAAAGCCTCTCTAAAAATTGACCCTAATCCTAAGGTGGGAAGCGCGCCGAGAGGATGTATGGCTTACAGGTAGTAAGTTGCTAGCGCCAACCTCAAGGGACCCGGCAAACGTTATTGTATGAGCCTTCTTGAAGGAATAGGCGTCACCCTATAAGTGACTATTTATTTCGACCTTACTCGTGGGAACAATATGAATGAAACTAATAAAACTCGAAATAATCCTAATATGATCCAACGACAATTTCACAAAAGTATGTTCATCAGAAGCCGTAGTAACAGTCTACCGTCAGTCGCAGCCAGTATAACCAGTGATAAGCAATCTCAAAATGAAGAATCAGAGTCTAAAAATGCAGAAAAACCGGTAAATCTGTGGCAAAACAATCAAGTACCTCCTAAAAGGCAAAAGAGAAAGGAAACAAGCCCAATTTGCAGTGACTATACTAAGAAATCAAAGAATACACCCATTTTCGCAGTGCCTACGCACAACAAATTTGATATCCTCAACAGTGAGGAAACAGAAGAACTGGTCCCGGTTAAAGAATATATACCTAAACCCGAACCTATTTTTGTGACAGGAGTCATGGACGTTACAGCATTAAAAGCCACTCTAAATAAAATTATTGACAACAAACTATACAAAATGACAACATTAAGATCCAGCCATATCATTAAGCTAATGCTTAACGATATACAAACCTATAAAGCAATCCGAGAGCAGTTTATAACCAACAATATATCACAATATACTTATAAATTAAAATGTGAAAGAGCATATAGAGTTGTACAACGTGGACTACACTCCACAGAAGATACTTCTCTAATAAAACAAGAGTTAAAAGAACAAGGACATGAGGTGAGACAAATAGTAAATGTTTTACATAGGTCTACCAAAGAAGCATTACCCATCTTCTTCGTGGACTTAGAACCAAACCAGAACAACAAAGAAATATTTAAATTAAGATACCTAAGTCAAATGAAAGTGACATTTGAAGCTCCTTATAAGAAAAAAGAAATAACGCAATGCACAAGATGCCAGAGGTTCGGCCACACTAAAAACCATTGCTTCAGACCATTCAGATGTGTGAAATGCGGTAACGATCATCCTACTTACTCGTGCACCAAAACACCAGTAACAGATGCTACATGTGCAAATTGTCAAGAAAGACATCCTGCAAGCTACAAGGATTGGACAAAATACAAACAATACAAGGAAAGAATACTATAAATTAAACCAACCAATAAAAGAAAACCATCCAATTATGAATACAAAAGAGGTTAAAATATTAAATCAAACAGTCAAACAAAACTTAAGACAAAATGATTACACAGAAAAAAGAAGCTATTCAGATATAACAAAAGAACGACCACTGAATAAAGGGATACCTGACGCGGAAAATCTTCTAGACAAATTAGAACTAATGTTCGCTAAATTTCAACAAATCATGATCAGCATGATGGACAAAATGATGGACCGAATGATCCGGCTTATCTCAAGCCTGATAACAAAATGATTAATACACTCCGAACACTTGGAACGCCAATGGCTTGACGGACCGTCATCAAGAGCTTCAAACATTCCTCGAGGTTGAAAAAATTGACGTAGCTTTAATTTCCGAAACAAGGTTCACTGCAAGATCTCACTTCGCTATGAAAAATTACACAGTTTATTATAATTACACAACAAATCATTCTTCAGGAAACAGTCACGGCGGAACCGCAGTAATTATTAAAAATAATATTAAACATTATGAACTAGAAAAATACTATACGGATAAAATACAAGCTACGTCAATAAAAGTAGTGACCAATGATAAAGTTGAGACAACCAATTCTGCAGTTTATCGTCCACCCAGACATACGATGACAAAACATGACTACAACATGTAATCCTCCTCACTCGGCCCCAAATTCAAAAGTGGTGGTGATTGGAATGCTAAACACACATACTGGGGCTCACGATTAATCACACACACACACATCGCAACTACATGGTGCAATACACGGTCTGGGGCTGGAATGCATGAGTTCACGCGAACCAACATACTGGCCAACGGATCGAAGTAAAAATCCTGACTTGCTGGACTTCTATATAACTAAAAATATAGGTCGAAACTACATAACTACTGAAACCTGTACGGATTTATCATCTGATCAGACGCTAGTCGAACCTGCGACGCCCCATTAAGACGGGGGAGGTTTTGTTGGGTTTTAGTGGGTAGTACTGGCTTTGCCGGTGAGTCTCACACCTCGTGCGTAAATGCATTTCCCAACGTTAAAAAAAATGGCTTTTGACAAAGTGTGGCACGAGGGCCTATTGTACAGTCAAAAAGATGCTACCACACTCGTTTTACCACATAATAAAGTCTTATCTCAGCAAGCGATGTTTTGAAGTAAAGTTCCACGATAAACTTTCCGACTTATATGAGATCAAGTCAGGAGTGCCACAGGGAAGTATACTAGGACCAGTGCTCTACACCATATATACTGCTGACATACCAACAGTAGAAAAGACTACGATTGCAATATATGCCGACGATACAGCCATACTTTCTACACACTCGAACTCAGTAACCGCATCAGAACATCTACAACACTACATTGATAAAATTGAAGAATGGCTTAAAATATGGCGAATACACGCTAATCAAAGTAAATCAACACATGTGACCTTTACTCTCAGGAGAGACACGTGTCCACCGGTTATACTTAATAACGAAGAAATCCCGCAAGACGGCAATTTTAAATACTTGGGCATGCACTTAGATCGTAGGCTGACATGGAAAAAACACATATGGACAAAGCGGAAGCAACTAGATTTAAAACTACGTAGTATATACTGGTTAATAGGACGAAACTCACAAATGAGCACACACAGCAAGTTGGCAGTATATAAAGCCATCTTGAAACCAATAGGGACCTATGGCATACAGCTTTGGTGTACGGCCAGCAACAGTAACATAGAGATACTGGAACGATTTCAAACCAAAACACTGAGGACCATATTCAACATCCCTCAATACATCAGTAATAAGTACATATATCTTAACTTAAATGTACCAACTGTCAAACAGGAGATAGCGAAATATAGCATCAACTACCAGAAAAGACTCTCAAATCACAAAAATGAGCTTGCCCTCAGACTCAGCGGAGATCAAGGACTTCAACATAGAAGATTAAAGAGACGTAGTGTTCCAACCCTACAAGATAGATTCAACAGTATGGAATGAGACACATACCCGAACCCATAACTGAAAACTGCCAAAATTGGCGAAATCACAATCTTTATATTTAAGGCCATGTGGACACCATTTTACAGAAAGTGATTTTAAAACTCTTAAAGTCGTTAACAGGTGAGTATTCTTTTTATTTTTTGTACTTTTTTTATTACATAGTTATTAATTACGGAGTTTCATGCAAAGTTTGATCTCCCATTTGGGATTGAACTTTGGAAAATGCTAAAACAAAAATTTATTTAATTGTATTGACAAGCATTAACATCACGTTTCAAGTAATTCTGATTATAAATAATTTTTTTATTATATAACTTTTATTAACCCTTTTTATATTTTTAAGGGATATATGCGAAAAAAATGATATAAATATATATATTAGTTTTATCTTAAAGCTGTACATCACTTTTGTGTATTTCATATTAAGGATGACAGAGTTTCATACAATCTTTAATCCCCTATTTTACCCGCTTAGGGAATGAATTTCGTAAAATCCTAAAGCTATACCTCCAACAAATTTCACGTTTTTACGACCAGCAGCTTAGGCTGTGCGTTGATCCATCAGTCAGTCGGGACCACCGCAGGATGCACCTCTCCTTCTCAATTCTTTCTTTAGCTGATATAACTTTCTGGTGCAACAAATTGCACAGGTAAGATGCTTTCACAATAGAAGCAAAAACCCAGGCATAAAAGAGATGTCACAATAAATTGCATAACATCAGGCTGAATGTAAATCCCCCCCAACGTGCGTTCACCTTGTCGTGGTGGGGGGGCTCAGTAGTGCCCGGCAACCCAACCGGGCGCGAAGCCAAGAAACGCACAGGGAGGTGGCCCACTTCGGTGGGCGGTGGGAGGTGGCCCTCTACGGAGGGCAGTGTACCATGCGGGTTGCTCCTGGTACTTCTCTGATAGCAGAGTGGACTGTGGAGCAACCCCGTGGTTGTTGTGGTCTGCTTCGGCAGACCTGCCGTCGGGGCGTCGTAGTTGAATGCGTAAGCGATCCTGCGATGCCCCATTTAGACGGGGGAAGGTTTTGTTGGGTTTTAGTGGGTAGTACTGGCTTTGCCGGTGAGTCTCACACCTCGTGCGTAAATGCATTTCCCAACGTTAAAAAAAAAAAAAAAAAAAAAAAAAAAAAAAAAAAAAAAAAAAAAAAAAAAAAAAAAAAAAAAAAAAAAAAAAAGGCTGAATGTAAATAGGCCATACGTGTGACGCCTTTCTTTAAAAAAATCTTCCCCATTTAGTCTATGAAATAATATGCTATATCTGTCATACACATGACGTTAAGTAGCTTCAAGCCTTCAATTTCAAATTGAGAATTTATGTACTCTTGTACGTTTTGGCTTGTGGTTTTGTAGTTTGCCACACCCGTTAATAAAAATTAAAGTGCTGTAAAGTAATAATTACTAGCTCCTCATATTAAATCGAAATATTAACATTTTAGAATAATTAACTTTAGTCATGATTATTCATACCAAAGCAGAAATTATAACATTTGTTTTACTAGCGTATTTGCTAGGAGGTACAATATTTATTATAGAAAGAAAATTACATGATACAATTGCAAAAAGAAAATAACTTAAGTGATGTTTTTATTTCTTTTCAGTAAAAAGTCTGGAATGCTATGTATGTGATTCGCAAGAAGATAATAATGAAAAATGTATAAAAACTATAAAGACTTGTGAATACAATCAGGATGTTTGTTTGACTGAAATAAAATGGGGTACTACTCCTTATTGGTCGCAAGGTGCTAAAAAACAATATTATATTTCAAAGAGATGTTCTGATAGAACAGATTGTGCGACAACTCGGCAACGCTACATGCCTCTATGTACACATATCTGGTATCAAGACTGGGTCTGTTCAGATTGTTGTCAAGGAGATAGATGTAATTATTATGTTATAGTAAGTATAAATACTTTTTTTAACATTTCTAAAAAAACATAGTCTATAAGCCAAATTTTGGGCTTTACTTAGTTTACATGTAATGAATTCTTCTTTATATAACTCATGAAAATATCAATCATTTCACTTCTATTACAACAAATTTAATGTAAAAGTAAAGCGTACATAGCTATATTATTTTTATACATATACATAACTTAAATACTTTCTTTACAGAGTGGCAGCGATAAAAATAAACCAGTTTTAAGCATTTTATTAGGAGTAGCATCAGCTATGATTTTAAAAATAAAATTATAATATATATATATATTTATGGCATAATATGAGTTTTTTAATACTTTTTATAAAATTGCAAATGTGTGAACATTGACATACTAAATAATATGTCTATCATGTTTTTGAAATGATTAAAGTAAATTATGTTAGATTACATATAATATTTGGTTTACAGCATATATTAGGAGTATGATAATCTAACAAAACCATACTTTGTATATTTTTAAGTGCATTTCCATTTTAAAGATATCCTTATAAAAAAAAGTTATGTGAAGTATAAGCAATAATTTTAATCACTGTACTGCCTGAAAATTTGTAACAATACGTTTAGTTGTATTATTGTTAAAATATTTCTAGCAATAATTAATATTATTCTAGAATAAGAAAAATATATTAATAATAAATAAAAGAATCTCTTGAATCCGTCCTAAAACATACTTAGTAGTAAGGTTTTTTTGTATATTTTGACAGTACCATTTAAAAGCATGGTATTTAAAAAAATAATGTATATCTTTGTATTGTAATGACAAAAATATAATTATTTTATTTGCTATGTCTGTCTTTTTTATTTATTTCCCTTTCTTTCTGCTCCCTTTTTCCAGAAATTAGATCAATTTTATGATTGCAATCAATAAAAATTTAGATTCAAAAGTCACACTTAGGCAAATGAAGTCTTGCAAGGGAACCTTGTACCACAATGGCTTATAGCAATATGTGTAGCAAGAGACTAGGATGGATGAACTTCAACCATCCTGGTCTCATGGTTCGGTTCAACCGTTGAAGCTCTTTGGATTTCCTCTTTGGTTGGCTCTTTGATCCTCATTCATGGTTTAGCAATGTAGTAGACATGGGCGTACCCAGGTAGGGGGGGGGAGGGGGGCAGCTGCCTCCCCCCCCTGTATCGTGTATGTCTGTTGTCGATAAAGTTATGTTTGAGTCAGGTTACGAGTGTTACGAATTACTTTACAATACATGAGTAAACTTATAAAAAAATTGCGCTGCGCGTTCGGTCAACTTGTATTCATACAACAGGCTAGAGCAGCAAACGACCTGTGAGCTCCACGCTCGTCAGCCACTCGCTGCCGCCCCAACGTCTTATAAAAATTATCGAATCTAGTCTAGCGTTTGTACTGGCCTGTGAGCTCGTATTCTGTTGGGTGTGCGCGTTTCACGAAAAAAGTACTGAACCGATTTTAACTAAAATGAGTACTGATAACTTATTACTCGGGTTAGGATATTTAAGATATCTTTTACTGCAGGAAAAAAAGAAAAGGGACAGGAGCGGAGCGGAGAGGAGCCTGTTGTTGAGATTTGGCCTGTCTCTTGCACTTGTTTTTAGCAAATCTTCTTCGCCTGTCTACTGCGCTTGTCTTTTTCGCCTGTCTTCCCCTCTCCTCTCTTCTCATCCCCTCTCCGCTCCTCTCCTCTAGTCCCCCTTTTTTCTTTAAAAAACAAACAAACATTTATAATATATATTTATATTTTTTGTTTGTTTAACTGTGAATTTACTTAACTGTCAGTTTTATGAATGGCTAGTAAGTTTAACAGTCAGTTAATTTAACTGTCGGTTAGTTTAACCTACAGTTAGTTTAACTGTCAGTTAGCATAATTGCCTGTTCGTTTATATGTCAGTTAATTTAACTGTCAGTAAGTTTAACTGTCAGTTAGGTAGACTATCAGATTGATGAACGGCTAGTAAGGTTAACTGTCAGTTAGTTTAACTGTCAGTAATGTAACTATCAGTAAGACTAACTGTCAGTTTTATTAACAGCTAGTAAGTTTAACTGTCAGTTAATTTAACTGCCAGTAAGTTAAACTGTCAGTTAGCTTGACTGTCAGTTAGTTTAACTGTCAGTTGGTTTATCTTCCAGTAAGTTAAACTGTCAGTTGGTTTAACTTCCAGTAAGTTAAACTGTCAGTTAGCGTGACTGTCAGTTAGTTTGACTGTCAGTTACTTTAACTACCAGGAAGTTTAACTGACGTTTTTGACAGGAGTTTTAGAATTTTTTGTTGTTTATGTACTAATAGACCAATCAGAATCCTTTTATTTTTAAAAGAAAAAAATTTATTGAAAACCTAAAGTTTTATGATTTTAAAATGTTAGCAGGTATATAAGGAATAGAAATTCATAAAATGCTCCCTCTGCCCAGCTACCCTCGAGAAATGGGGGGACGCAAAGCGTTGAAAAATATTTTTTTTCAATTTCCGGCTTTCTGTGATGTTCTATTGAAAATGTTTTCTACAAAAAAAAATACATTTTTTTACGATTTTTTGTGACGTTATCGTATAAATATTAATGTCAATTTTGTCAATATTATTAACAAAAAAAATGGCTAACGCTGGCTAATAGCTATTTATATCTACATATTTAAAACGTTTTTAGCATCATTTGTCTGATAACAACAACGGTTACCATGGCAACAAACGTTTGCCTCGCCCGATCACACTTTTCGTAAAGCTCACGTTACGCATTCACCACTCACTAGCTTACTCCCCAAGTCAAGCGTCCGTAAAAGTTTTACTTCAATGTCGAGTTTTACTTTCAAATGTCGTCGGAATTGTATCAACATTTAAATTTGAACTCTGTAGAAAGAAAGGAAGTTCTATTTCAACTTGCAAGATTTGACCCAGACAAACACAAACCAACTACATTGGTATTTTTGTTACATTGCAAGCTAAATAAAAGCTTGTAAAAATCATCTACACATATAATCAACTTCTCAAATTTTCGTCAAGCTTCATGGTCAGTCAAAATTTTCAACTAGGAAACAACGTTCCTCTAATTTTGATTTTTCGTTGGTTTAAACCAATTGTGTTCATCAGAACAATCCTAAATATACAAACCGCTGACAAACACATAAACAGCTAAAGTCTGTTCGAAGATTTAGTTTCTAGATCTCCCATCACTCCCATTATTCTTGATGAATCCAAAATAAATGATAATTTTTCAATTTATTTTTCCTATTATTTTCAACTATCCTAAGAAATGATATTTTTCTATTAATTATTTATAATTAATAATATGTTTGATAAATTTGATAAATTAATAGTATGTGGTGTGGTGTGATGTATTTGAGGAAGTGGTAGCCCATTGATAACTAGCTCGCTTAGGAAACCGAGTGAAGTGGGTTCAAATCCCGGGTCTCACACCTCTGATATTTTCATGTGCGAGTCATTTCTAACATGTGAAGGAAATGATATATTATATCTATTTACATTGAAATATAAAGTGTTTATTAAATTGTATTGAAGAGTTTTAATACTTAGTTTCAAGTAGGTAATTCTGATTATATATAATTCTTTGCCCATATAAACTTTATATAACCTTTTACCCCTTTAAGGGATGAATTTCGGAAAAAATCTAATAAATATATTTCCATTTTTTATGTATTTCATATAAATAAGATATCGAAATAAATTGCTCAATCTCAGACTGAATGTAAATAGGCCATAAGTGTGGTGCCGTCCTTTTGAGAAATCTTCCCCAATAAATGGGCGCACCGGCGCAATATGTTTAATATCTGTTATATATTTTGTAATCTGTGGTTACGTGTCGTCAGTGGTGGAGAGTGGACAGAGAACATTCAACAAAAAATTGACTTCGATAAAGCAAACGAAGTCAAAAGTGGTGCGGCACACTTAGACAATTTGTATTGAAAGAAGTAAAACTATATTTTAATGTTATTCAAAACCACTCTATTTAAGATAATATTTTTATGAACATTGTGTCAAAATTTAAAAAACATGTTGAGTTACAAATTTTTAGCATGTATAGTGATTTTGGTAAGAAATTGTAATTTATAAAACTCAATCAGTACACGTATTGTATGTTGACTTCGTGGTATATTAAAGAATTATTAATCGCCTCATATACATTTTGAATTGTTTTGTTTCAGTTCTGCCACAGTTTTTACAATCCTACCGATAGTGGGGCTGTTCAAATTACACAGAGTAATTTAGATATGGTACTTGGTAAGATTTGCTTCAGTTTTTAACAAAATGTGTTAATTACTATTTGTAACTAATGAAATTATTGTTTATAGCTTCCAATGAAGTCGTGTTTATAAACTTCTATGCGGAATGGTGTAGATTCAGTAATATGCTGATGCCTATTTTTGATGATGCCGCCGATGAAGTTACAAAAGCCGGCTATGATACTGGTAAAGTAGTGATGGGTAAAGTCGATTGTGACAAAGAAGGTGCCATAGCAACAAGATTCCACATATCTAAGTATCCAACATTGAAACTATTCCGAAATGGTTTACCAGCTAAAAAGGAATATAGAGGTACTCGACAGGATTAATTCTTTCTATGTTATTGTTTTGTATTGACACAACTTTTTAAGTAATTAACATTTATTATCTAGTACATGTAGCATTAATGTAGCTATCCACCTAGTTATTTTATACTTACTGAAATTCATAACAATAAGATTACTATTATTATAAAAAGAGACTTTATAATACTTAGTTTCCTTTCATTTATTTATTAAAAATAGTATTTTTCTATTTTAAGGCCAACGGTCTGTTGAAGCATTTTCTGAATTTATTAAGAAGCAGTTGACTGATCCTGTTATCGCATTTGGTGCTTTGAAAGAGTTGCAAGATTTAAGTGAAGATAAGAGACACATTATTGGTTATATGGATAGACGGGACCAGCCTGAATATGAAGTTCTTAGGAAAGTGGCAGCTAGTCTGAAAGATGAATGTATATTTCATGCAGGCTTTGGTGATGCTTCTCAACAAATGCATCCTCCAGGTATTATAGTCTTAGAATTCTTAAATAGTGCTGCATAATTATTACCTCCAGGTAAATTTCTAAGAAATTAATTAAAATTCTAAGAAATCTATTGTTAACTGTCACACCAGGATAAATATCAGCATCAAATAAATACAACCACATAATATATTTGTGTTGTATATTGTTGATTACTATAATAGGATCTTATATTAGAAAAAATGGTATAAACCTTAAATATTATTCACTTGACCACTTTTTATTTTTTGTTATTGTAGAACTTGCTCTACAATCATATGAAGCTTAATAAAGCAAGAACAAGAAAACCTTCAAATATATATTAATGATGTATACCTCGTTTCCAGATTAGCTTTAAGAATAGTACTAATAACTTTGTGCATTTAATTTCCAATGAGCTTTAGTAATCATATCTTTAGTATTATCTGAATATGGCTTTACTCATAGCTAGATGCATCTATGAAAATCTATGACTGTTATCCAGATATTAGCTAGCTCTCTTCCCTTTTTACTTAAATCAGTTGAGGCTCAAATGAGCATCATTACAGTGTTATAAAGTTATTAACTAAAACACACTAAATTTCATATAATGAGTGTTATGTATTAAATAATTGTGTATTTAAATATTTAAAAATTGTAACAGGTCAGCCAATTGTTGTATTCAGAACGGACAGGAAAACATCTATCGAACCTGATGAAACCTACAAAGGATCTTTGCTAAACTTTGACCAGTTCTATAGTTGGGTGCAAGAGAAGTGCATACCTCTTGTGCGAGAAATCACCTTTGAAAATGCTGAAGAATTGACAGAAGAAGGATTACCTTTCTTGATTTTGTTCCACCATCCTTCAGACACTACAAGTGTGAAAAGATATAAGGAAATTATTTCAAGAGAATTGGAAGATGATAAACGTAATGTATTTTATTTAACTATTTTTTGTCGCAGGTGTACTTAATCAACCACATTCCCCTTATATAACCACAATTATTCCTTATATTTTATTACAAACACATATTTTATCTTTTTAGGTTAGGTTTATAATTTTATATTAAAAACTTTAAGTTTTTCTTTAATTAAAGTATTTTTTTTTATATTTATTATTATCGAGGGTTTGAGTTTATTATTATATTATTTGCCTACATTGACTTTCAAATTTTATTTTAATTAATTGAATTGATGATAAGCCTTTTAAAGTACATAATTTTGTATTTTATTGAAAGTTTTAATGGCACGAAAATCAAAAAATGTATGCCTTACATTATGGAAGTACATTTAAAATTATTTAGTGGACATTTTTGTTTTTTTTTTCAAAATGTATATATCCACACTAATGTTATAAAGAGGTAAAGCTTCTGAGTTTGTGAATTTGTGAGTTTGTGACGTTGTAGGGGGTAATCTTTGGATCTACTGAACCAATTTAGATGAAATTTGGTAAGAAAATAGTTTGAGAACCTGGGAAGGACATTCCTTTAAGGGGGTGAAAATGGGGATGAAAGTTTGTATGGGGAATCAACCTAGGGACGACCCCGAGCGAAGCGAGGGTGAGTCACAGGTATATAATATATGTTGGGACGTTAAGACACATCACCATCTAGTTCCACGGTAACCTATGAGGTATGTGTTATGGATACCAGAGAGTTGATACACTACACATCTATAGCTTTAAAAACATACATATGTATTATAAATACATATGTAATTTATTATTGGAGTACAAACATTCGTGCTCATCACACAAATGAATGATCCCAGTGGGACTCGAACCCGTGACCGTTGGCACAGAAAGTAGGGTCACTACAAAGTACAGATTGAGCCAAATGAGTCGTCAAATATTTACAATGATAATGATGTTTAATAAGCATTAATAAGATCCTTGTCTTATAAGCCTAAAACCAATTTCATGGAATAAAGAAAATATAACATCTCAATAAAATAATTATAATAAATGTTGTCTTTTACAGAAAAAATTAACTTCCTCACTGCTGATGGGGTACGTTTTGAGCATCCGTTACATCATCTTGGCAAGTCTACATCAGATCTACCTCTCATAGCCATAGATTCATTCAGGCATATGTACTTGTTCCCCGACTACAAAGACATGGAAACACCTGGCAAATTAAAGGAGTTCCTTCAAGATTTGTACTCTGGCAAATTGCATAGGTAAGAACTATTGTAATCTATATAAAATATCTCTAAATAATATCAGTCAAATATATTAAGAGCTTTCTGCACCATATAATATGCCTACATTGATGCTTGACTTTTGTTACATCAAAACACATAAGAATTCTGGAAATGAATAAAGCCTGAATAAACCTCATACTTACTGCACTAGAAACAAAGAGTATTTTAATGTTAGAACATCATGTGTGTATTCAGCCCTTTTTAACGTCCCACTGCTAAGCACAGGCCTCCCTTCGATACGAAGGGGATCAGACCATAGTCCACCACGCTAGCCAAGTGCGAGTAGAACATAATGTAAAAATTATTTTAATGTTAATTAAAACTAATAACCTCCTATTAGTTTAGTGATGGCCTTTTCAAATATGTTTAAAATGTATATTACTTTGCTTCTAATTCTAAGGCGTATTTTATATGTTAGTGAATGGTAATAACTCAAGTGCACAATTAATAACATTTTAATAGCACTCAATTGCGATAAAACTGCAGTTAGCTTTTTGTTATATACTTAACTTTTTTTTTAGTTGCAGTTATGTCCCATATTGTTTGACTGGTCTCCTTTTTTTTGTGTTGGGAAATGAATTTACGCATCCCACATGTAGACATATAGGTGGTTATGTGGCACTCACTGGCTAGAAAAGCCAGTAGTACCCACTAAAACCCAACAAAACCTCCCCCGTCTTAATGGGGCGTCGCAGGATCGCTTACGCACTCAACTACGCAACCGTATAATTTGACCGGTCCCCAGGCCAGGGTCGATTTTTGACTGAATTTTAAGATAACATTTTTTCGAATATAGAATCAAAGAAATAGTGATAAATAGATAAAAGCAATTTACATGACATTCTTTCATGGACGTGTGGTCTTAAAATGGTTAACAATGAAAAGAAAAACATTGTTAAAAATGCAATTACTTACTAATACTTCTTACTAATAATATAAATGTGAAAGGTTTATATAGATAGCACATAGGCTACTTTTTATCCCGGAAAAATGTACGGTTCCCGTGGGATAGATTAGTTTTAAATATATGGGGAAATACTTAAAAAAAAATTAAAAATATGATTGTCCAAACTATGTCAACGCGTGACGTCACCCAACCACCAGTGGTTTCGCGATCTTTGCTAGCTTAACCTTGATTTGGTGTACCCCGAGCGCAAGGAGAAAGTTTCGCACATACTCATATAATATTTACCTCATTCCGCGAATGAAGCACATACCTCTCACTAAATAGGTAAATCTATACTATTATTATAAAGAGGTAATGTTTGTTTGTGACTTGTAGGGGGTGGTCTCTGGATCTACTGAACCGATTTAGATGAAATTTTGTAAGAATAGGGTACTTTTTATCCTAGCAAACAAACATCTCATAAAGGGGTCAAAATGGGAAGAGGGTGAGTCGCCAGTAGTAAATAAATTGCTATTGTGTCAAAAGTTGTCGTTTACTAACAAAATATTATCATACTATTAGAATCATATTCATATTTCATACCATCTTGTGATTTTGAGATTATAGAAGGCCGATATCGGGAATTACAATAATTGTAAAATGATAATATGATTTTAATTAATAAATAGTTATAATCGATACATATAATAAAATTCTAACTAAGTCGAATCTGTACATTCAATATTTTATGGAAAATCTTATTAAAATAGACATATTCGATACAGAGACCGAGTCAATCGCTTTTAGAATTTTTGTCTGTCTGTTACCGCATCACGGAAAAACCACTGGAGGGATTTTGATGAAATTTGGTATGGTGATAGCTGGTTATCCGGGTCAAATTATAGGATACTTTTTACCGTGGGAAAATGTCTCATTTCTGATAAAAATACAAAAACTGCAATGTAAGAGTATACTAATATGTAAAACCTAAGAATTTGGTTTTTGGTCATCAGAACGCGGGCGGAGCCGCGGGCAATGCTAGCTAGGCATATAATTACTACTAGCCACAACTTGGCTATATATTTTAATTTTAATTTCTATAACTATTTTCTACTAAATAAAATTGTATAGAGTAGTTATTTACACATTCTTCCAACGATGAAGTCGCCTACTGTACGTATTTTCCTCGTATTTTAGCTATTTGGTGTGCAATACAGAATATTATTATCTATATATTGATTATCTGGAAATTTCTACGCAATATTTTTGAAAAATAAAACTAGTAAAGTAACCAGACCAATCAAAATATTTAACAATTTGCAAAAGAAATTCTCTATTAATTAAACTCCCATTGTAGTTAAGTAATTAAGTCACGTTCCACTTCTCATGGTATACGATATGAGAAACGTTCAATTAGTTGCTTGGTGACATTTTGCATTTGAATGAAACAAGGATAAAGTTCTCATGAGTCATGATAAAAATTTGATTACGAAAAATAGAAAACATTTTTTTTTAATAAATCACAAGCGGAATTTAACATACATGTATAGTACAGGTACAATACATGGTTATAAAATACGTATATGCTTATAATACATTATATATATTATACTAGCACTGCCCGCGGCTCCGCCCGCGTTCAAGTGACCAAAAACCAAATTCTTAGGTTTTACATATCAGTATACGCTTACAGTGCAGTTTTTGTATTTTTTCTCAGAAATGAGATATTTTCCCGCGGTAAAAAGTATCCTATATGTTGACCCGGATAACCAGCTACCATCATACCAAATTTTATCAAAATCTGTCCAGTGGTTTTCTCGTGATGCGGTAACAGACAGACAGACAAAAATTCTAAAAACTATGGATTCGGACTCTGTATCGATAATAATGTCAATTTCAATAAGATTTTCAAAAAAATATTTAATGTACAGATTCTATTCAGTTACAATTTTATTATATGTATAGATTATGTATTAAATTATGTAGATAATCATATCTTTTGGATAATTTCGTGCCACTACATGAAATCGGTCTAGTGCGAGCCGGATTCGCGCACCATGAAACAACATTTATTTGTATTATGTATTTACTAATGGAATATGAGTTTATATTTAATATAGGGCTATTTAAATAATGGTCATTTGAAACACTTAACATGAGAACTAACACCTCAGTTTAAATAAAAATATCTTTTTGGATTATTTGGCGGATTTATTTTGATTTTTGGTTCCTGACGTTTCGAATGCTTTACAGCAAACCATGGTCACGGGAGAGACGTGAGGAGGGTGAGGGATTTTAATTAAAAATGTCAAATATTCGCTTAAATCTAAGAAAGTATTAACACTTCACTTTCTATTATTTTTCTGCCGAGACTTGTTGTTTTATATATCTATGTATGTATATATGACTGAGCATATGTATATGTTCAGCCTTTTTTAACGTCACGTTTAGTATTGCTGGGCACGGGCCTCCCACCACTACGTTGGTCAAGAACGGATTGGCGGACTTCACATTTCTCTCGAAAATTTTCTAAGTTCCCTCAAACATGCAGGTTTCCTCGCTACATTTTCCTTTAACTTCACCAGTTTTACACAATTGTTATCATGTTGGAAATGATTCACAGACGGAAATATCAGAGGTGCAAGACCCCCGGGGTATGGACCCGCTTCACTCGGTTTTCCTAACAAATGCGTTAACACTGCCTTGATTTCGTATACATACAATAATAAATTTATTATGTTAACTTTATTTCCAGAGAGTTCCACTACGGCCCTGACACGTCTCAAGTCATAACAAGTGATGTAAAGGTGACCACTCCTCCGGAGTCCTCATTCAAGAAGCTAGCACCTTCTAAGAACCGATACACACTCCTTAGGGACGAGTTATAAAGTATTTAGTAATCAATTTTAGATAACACTTCCAACTATCAATCTCAATTCATTACTTATTCTATTTTTGCACTATTTTTTATATGAATGTAAAGATAAATTCACTTTAATGAAATTTTGATAAAATATATTTTAATCTTTGTAAAGTATCACATGTAAAAACAAGTGACCAATATTTTCATATTGTTAGATTAGTCATCATGATTTATAATATGAAGGGTACAGGCAAGGAGCAAGGAGTGTCACATTTTTTTTTGTTTTGTACTGGTAACAAATCTATGTCTATGGTAATTGCGTTCCCAACCACTGGTTTTTGCAAATACTCAACGGATGTCGCTAAAAATACGTTTTTATCTATGCCCAAAGCGAAAAGAACTGGACATGTCCATGGCATACTGGTAAAGAAGGAGGTTTGTCCATATAGTTAACAGTTATTGCATACTTTGATCGCAAGAAAATATAATATAACTTCTAAACTTTCTCATAATCTATCCATCAGAACATTGCCTGTTCTTTGCCAGTACCCTTCATATGGTACATTTAAAACGTTTTTTTTTAATTTGCAATAAATATATTTTTTTATTTAAGTGAATTTACTCCATACATTCATGATTAGTGCAATCGATCAAAATTATTTGTTTTTATGTTTTATACATTGGTGTATATTTTAAATTGTACATAATTTACTAAAAATGTTAGTGAAAATTACAGTTATTGTAGGAATCTTTTTATATTCACTTACTTATAACATTTTATACATTTATAACTGGACTTACATTTTCTTTTCTTTTTTTATATATTTCATTGTATATGCATCTTATTAAAGCAATATTTAATATTTTATTGAAATGCCAGATTAAATAAATTTAATATTGAAATTAGCTACGAAATTAAAAATTCCAACTGAGATCAGTAAATGTTGGCAAAAGTCAAAAAGTATCATTATATGTAAACAAAATTTGTAATATATCTTAAATAAAAACATAAAATTTATGTTAAATAACAACATTTCTTTTTATGTATTTTTGCATAATTAATAAGATATTACGGTATCTGTGGGGTTATTGACTAATCTTGAAAAAATAAAAAAGTTTCTTTATATATGGGTTATCTAAGATTTTAACTGATAATTTACCAATATTGACGCATCTGATTGGATTTCATGTTTCTCCAGTGTCTATTATATTATTTTAGCTAAAAATGTAAGCCAATATTAAAGTACTACATTAATGACTCGATCATTATCACTTGTGGAGTATAAAACAACATGATAGCCCCCTTTGTATTATATAGTATGAGTTCAAATTAACCTCTTCTCTCATAATAGGGAAAATGCGTGCTTTTTGTTCTTATTCTTTATACAATAGCTTACATCGGTATTTAATTTAAAAAAAATATCCAGCTTCTAAAAACTAAAATTTAGTATAAAAAAATGTTTTCAAAATATCATACAGATATGGATACTTAAAATACCCATCCTTCTAGCTTGCTTGGCGTGACGTCATAATCTATGACAATATTGCAATTTACGTGTGAACAGGTCTAGAAGTATTAAACAACAGCACTCTGATATAATAGACTTTGACGTCACATTCGGTCTGACCAATGGCGTTGCGTTTCAACTACTTTGAATTTTCAACCTATTTTTGCACTTTTCAATTATTATTTTAATCAATAAGAAATTAAATAATATTGATATAGGCATAATTCAGAAGCAATAAAGGTTATAAAAAAATATTTTACCTTTATTTAAATCACACGCATATTCCCTGTTATAATTTGAGTCTGCACGATATATAAGGTTTTCTAAATAAGCATTGGACTATGTACTACTAATTATTGTGCGTCTTATCAATTGAGTACACTTAAATGCTAACTTCATAATGTTCGTATCTTGATAATGATAAGCCGTTTCCAGTTATTTGTTATTATTTAATTTAATATCTACAACAAAAAAAGGGGACTCTAAAACTGAAATACGATATAAATTATATTTTAGTAACTCGATGTTTTAATTGTTTAAGATTTTCCTAACGGTTCTCGGAAAAACTATTGAAAAATACTTATAAGATCGATAGTAAAATAACTTTAATACATTGCATTTATTGTAACTAGGTTCAAAAACATAAGTTCAAACACTAATTTTATGTTTATTTCCATATCACTACAGTCTTTTTCAATACATTTAACTTGTATAAATTAGATAATTAACTTTTAATTAGCACTATTTTGATACTTAATTAGGTGCTTGGGGTGAGATCTTAATACTTTTTATACATTTTAGCGTCACTTGAAATATTGATTTTAATAATAATTAATTATATATGTATATTAGATAATTTGATATCATATATTCTAAGTTACAGATCATCTATCAAAAAAGTACTAGATACACAATCCCAAGCAAAAGTTCTCTTAAAAGTGTCACTAATTGTGTTAAGGTAATTATTGTAGTTGAAATAAATATACAACAATGTAAATTGAACTTTAAATGCAATGCTTAAAGTTGTTTTTACAAAAAAAAATTATTAAAAGCGCGCTAAAATGTTCAAATGAGCGCTCATTCGGTGAGGACATTTTTTGTCGCTGATTATATATCTAGTACTTTTTTGATCGATATTACAGATTTACATACTCGTACCTATGAGTAATATTAAAATGCCAATTTTACATGTTACCTGTCATATATTCATATACTTAAATATATATTTATTTTAATTATATTGTTTTAGTAAATACCTTTTTTGTTTTTCTGTTACATATAAGTTTTGAGTTTCTTGCTTTGAATGCATTTGAAAACTTCAAGAACATTCGTCCACTAAATTGAGAATATGCATAGCACTCAATAAATTTATTTTCAAATTGTTTATTTTTCACAGTATTATCTAATTTTATATTAATTTTTATTGTTTTAAGAACATTCATGTTTGAATATTGATTTTGATATGTTAATAAACCAGCAGGTAACAAACAGCTCTTTTTATATTTCTCATTAGCTTTAAAAAATTAAACGTAAATATAAATAACTTCTAACATCCTAAACATTGAACTGATAGAATTTTGTAATTAATTTTGTGTAGAAATTGTTTTCAATGTATTATTAAATAGCAGAATTGTTTATATCTTCCAATATTGGTGGTGCCAAGTGAAAGGAAGTATGAGAATTACAATAAGACTAGTTTGTTAGCAATAAATTATTACTTAGCGTTATTTTGCATCAATATCCATATATCAAAATAATTGTTTAAAAAGATTGCATACATCCAACTTATTTAACTTTTTAATCCCTCCACGACCGCGGACACGCCGGCGTGTCAGTTAAGAATAGATTTCTTAGAATTTTAATTAATTTCTTAGAAATTTACCTGGAGGTGTTAAATAATGTGTTATTTACAATGTGCGTGTTATAAAAAATATTTTAATTTTGACACCTTAAATATTTTGGGAATACAGTGTGTTGTCCACCATTGTTAGAATGAAAAATGAATATCGGTACTCGATTCAGATGAAAAGTGGAGAAAATAAGAAAAGTTTTTGATATATTTCACACTGTACAGCTTAATTTTACTTTATTACATATAAAAAATATATATTTAAGAGGATATTAGTTATCTCTAGCCCAGTTATATCTGACAGCCATAAATTGTATTTTTATGTTATAATAAATATATAAGTAATATACGAATATGTGTATTTATAACAAATAAATATTGTATATTGCTTAATATAAATGCATATGAGTATATGTCGTTTCGATGTAAAAATTACCTTACCCATACCTTGAAAATAAAGAAAATATATAAATGCTAATTTTTCATTTAAAATATCTCAATGTTTGTTGGAAAGTTAAATAATTAATACGAATGTAACTATAATAAAATTGCAATATTGCAAATTTTGCCGGAATTTTTTCAAATGCTTATTATATAAATGGTGTGTATTCAATGGTTACGAACTGAATAGAAATACGCGATCGAGATCGCAGATATTAATTTTTACTTATATAACATTAGAGCTTTATTAAAAACATAACATTTTATTAAATGTTACAAATATTGAACGCACCATCCATAAATCTGTGAATTTTTTTACATATTGTTTATTATTATATATAATTAATTAAATGTAAATTTAATTTGTGTATTAACGGGAGCATTCTTTATTTTAAGGTTTCGGATGTACATACATAGATATTTCCTTTAATAATGGTGCTTCCACACAGCAGTCAAAAATGTCAGATAATATAAAAAAAATTAACACGAAAACTTTTCTTAACATTCAGTAATATCTTAACTAACATGTTAACTATTGTTAGATGTTTTCAAAGCTTACATACTGATAAAACATGTTGTACCTACATTTGAACAACAGTTTAACATTTTTAATCACCTTGTAGTCCGGGTTTAATGTTTTCTAAGAAAAGTTACAAATTGTGATATTTCGCTTCAAATAGTTTTTTAGCAATTTTTAGAAAAACAAATAATAAAAAGGAAATATTTAATAACTTGTTATAAAGGTTTTTTTTTGCGATAAAATGTTCACTAATAAACGTTTAGTAACATTTTTAACTCCTGTGAAGCACCTTAATATTAACAATATAGGTAATTATATAAGTATTATTATTAATGTACAAAATGTATGTTTTGTGAAGTGTGCTACTGTGTAATAAATTCTTTTGATTCTCACTAGTTTGTTCTTTATTAATATTTGCCTTCAACATAATATTTATACCAAAATTATAATAGGAAAGAAACGACGTTTTAGACTTTAAAACTACTCACGATTTTAAATCTATTCTTATATATAATAAAATAGTAAAAAAATTAAAGAAATCTGTATATTAAATATATTTTAAAGACAATGACTTACTTATTATGTACAGAATATAGACACCAAAACAATAGTTGTTGAAATTTTAGTCTCTTCGTCTGTATATCCGTGGGTTTTACACGCAAAAAGTACTAAACCGATCTCGACAAAATGTGTAGTGATAATAA